GTCTGGGAAACGGCTGGTTCGAAGAACAAGATATTCTGAATTTCGAATGTTGAACTTTTGAAGTTCAATCTGTGATTTGTAGATTGTAAGCTTCAATCTTTTCAATGCAAGTATCATTTCAAATGTTGAACTTTTGAAGTTCAATCTGTGATTTGTAGATTGTAAGCTTCAACTTTTCAATGCGAGTATCATTGAAGTCTCTAGAAGACTATTACAGACATACTAGAATACTTCGATGACTCAAAGAGCGACTGGTTGTCATAAATGATGACGTAATGATCTAATACAATAGAATTGAAGTAAAACACTGTATTGCGTAATCTCAGATCTCTGCTTCTGCTAAGATTAATATAACAGAAACTCTAGCTTACGCAATAAAAGAAAAGAAATATTCTCGAAATCTAGGAACAACCCCTTCACCGGGCAGAAAAATCAAGAGCAACTATCTATTGCTTAACAATCATTTGTAGAAGTCTGAAAAGTGTCCGGGTGATGGAGCATTATTACAGGGGAAATAAATCAAACATGAAATCCATTTCAACCAACTGAACAAACATTTGCATACTTTCATAATTCAGGAACAAGACTTTCCAAACTGCATCGAAGAAGTTGCTTTCAAGTATCAGAAGACTCGCTTTATGATTCGCCTAAAATTCTTTTGCAAACTAATTTACGTAACCCCAGTCAATTCTGTTTAACCAGTTCATCGAACTTATTCGTGTGGTTCTTCCTAATTCTATCTACTCAATTCACCTGATTTATTTGTGTGGTTCTTCTTAATTCACCCAATTTACCTAATCTCCCTAATTCTACCTGATTATATTTATATAATGTACCTAATTCTATCTTATTACATTTACATAATTTACCTAATTCACCTAATTTACTTAATTCGACTTCTGCCGACTAATTCCAGTGAAAGCGTTACAACATTTTGAAATATTTTTCTCAGGCATGATTCAGATCAATTACATCAGTAGGGTCACGCAACCGTGGCCTCAGGTGGCGAGTCTTTAAGGTTGAGACGGCCAAAATGTCAGCGTGAGAGGGTAAAAAGCGAAGGAGAGAAGATGAAGATGTCCTGAACGCGGAGAGAACGCGTTATGGCTTCGGCGTCGTTGTCTAGATGCTCCACGAAATATGCCAGGTCGCGCAACGCCTGAAAAACAACCATTGGCGAGCCTGTTACGGATTCGGCAGACGTAACGGGGAAAAACCTTCCCTCCGCAATGACGAAACACCCCATTCAAGAGGGGAGACGAAAGATCCGGCGGGAAGATTAAATCCGTTTCTTGTTCTAATTGACGTTCAAATAGTATTTATGCTTTGCGAAGCTGAATAGATTGTAAACCATACACCGGACGTTGCAACAGATGCAGAAGATAGCCAGAAATTTATTTTGAACGGCAGACGATTGGACATCTTGATCGTCGATCTCAGATTTTCATTCGGGAAAGATACGAAATGAAATTACTATTTCCTTACTATTATACCATTACTATTTATAAAATACTAATCCCATTGTTCTCCAAAGTTCTATTATAATTTCTAATTCAACTATTTCCTAACTATCGTAACAACCGAATATTAGCAATGAAATTATCACTAGAACTACCAAGTCTTATCCACAATTCCTCATAAATACTACAGTAATGATAATAAATACAATAATAATCAATAAACATCAACTCCTCACAAAGACGTTAGAATTTCAATAATTGCCAGACAAAGTATTAAACCATTTTCAGCTCGATAGTTCTAGTGTTAACCAACATCCACCTTAATCCAAGTTCCTTTCAATAATTACTTATAATTATAACGTGTGACCCAGTATAATAACACGAAGCGCACTTCTGAATAAATCTGCAAAGGGTTAAGCAGTGACGGGACGAGCGCTTTCACGACTCGACGTTTTTTCGGGACCGGATTGCGCGTTACAAAAACGGACTGGCAGCGCCGTTAACCGTTCGAATATGTTTTAAAATAATTCCTCATTACGCCACGTTAATAGACATCAGCGTGGCGCGGGTTAATGGTCTGGCAGCGGCTTATAAGTTGTCTTGCGCGCACGTTAATCGTCGAAGTGACAGGAATGACAGTACTCCCTCCTCTCTTCAGGCTCCCGTGTAAATGCTCCCAGCTCGTCATCTTCTCTCCGTGCCGTGCCCCGCATTATCTCCGGCGGAGCGAGCCGTTAATAACACACCGTCGCCCGCGACGTTTTCCACCTGGACTTGTAAATAATGTTATTAACCGTTCGATTTTTTATCCACGGACAATTTCATAATTGAACGTGCAGTCTGTTATTAGTTTATCCTCCCTTTCAACTCGCGACCGTTGTTTCTCCTTTCAGGAACGAAGACAACCGATTTCAAAGGTGGAACGCACTGGAAGACGCTGTCTGACTCGAGGGATTTGTAACACGTTGAATGTCGCGGGGTCACCGGTGACTCCAAATTGGATTAACCCTTTGCACTCGATAGGCGACTCTGTCACTTGATTTGATATGACAAAATTACAAAGTGCTATATATAATATTAAGTTTTGCATAATGCATCGGTAATCCTTCGCCCGATGATTTCATTCTGAATTACGATCGAGAAAGCAATGGCTTCGAGAGCAACGACCTCTGTATTTCAACTTTAACTTAGCAGCTGTGTAGTAGGCAACCTTGCCATTGCCTTCTATTAATCGTTGTTTATTAATCCTTTGCCTTACAATAACGTGTGAGACTCGTGGTGAAGATTTTAAATAGAATTCAACAAACAGAAATATTATTCGTTTACTTTGAATTCTAATTAGATATTATTCTTATCAATGATTCTATTGTAGGACAAATGGCATAGAATATGCATGGAACTTTTTCCTTTTTCAATAATTATTAGCTATGAAGTTGCTGTGTCGGTCACAGTTGGAAAATAAATCATAGGGCAAGGGATTTAATATTATATTTCTTCCATTTTGTGTATTTTGCTCTATGAAGTGCGGCGTTCAACGTGTTAATTACAGTGAAACGAAACTAGTCTAGGAACGGGTGAGAGATCAGTAGAGATCAGTTCAATTGATTCTGACAGCTTGTAGGGTAAGAGTATCTTCATTATGGGAGTGGACTCGTGTTTTGATTGAGAAGCTTGCTACCATAATAAATGTTCTATGGAGAGGAATGTTGGATACTTTAAGTTTATCTGAGGGGACGATTCTTTGAAATGTACAAAACCTTCAAGAGATAAAGATAAATTATATATCAAGTGCTTAATTAATAGAAAAAAGAGAGACTACGTGCTGATCTCTTGCTGTTTAAGTAATTAAATGATTTGTCTGTGACTTCGTCTTCCAAATGTGAACATTTCTCGTAGTTTCTTTTAGTTACTCTTCTCTGTTAATTTGGCAACGATTTATTTCTTATACCTCAAGTTCATGGCGTAGGGCTAATACGAAAATGCATCTCAATAATATATGAAACGAACTACTACGTACTCAGAAACTATATATAGAAAGAATTCTTTTACAAATATTGAAGTCACGAAGATACTTCTGCAAGGGACTAAAATCAGTTCCTGTATTCGCAATAATAAGAGACCCTTCGAATCTCAAGAAATCATTCTAGTTTCCATACGAAGTAAAAAATAGCGTCAAAGCTACAAAGGGTGCCAAGTTTCCATCAAGTACAATGTCTAGAACGTCATAAGAGAAGTCTATCGCTAGAATATTCTATAGTTTCAATCGAAGAACAACAAATTAGCATCAAAAAAGTCTAACGGCTAGCTCTAGTATCAAAGTTACAAAGGGTACCAAGTTTCCATCAAGACAGAAGTACAATTAGAAAACATCTACGCCATAAGAGAAGTCTACCACTAGGATATTCTATGGTTTCAATCGAACAACAAATTACCATGAAAAACGAAAAAAAAGATCAAAATTAACCAATGAAACTCGCATTCCTCAGTCTCATCAAACTATTCGCCAAGAGTTACGAAAATACTGTTCCATCCTAGGTTAGCTCGTCGCTGACGCAATCCGGGGAATCACCGGCGGCCGCAGGCTCACGACTGCCGAAATGGCCGTCCAATTTGGCGGTCGACTTTCCTAAGCGACACGGCCGTGCCGCGAGCACCGCGCCGCGGCGTGTGACGGAGCACCCAGATTCTTGGCAAGCAGTAGGTCATCCACGGCTAGAACCAAGATTTTCACTTTCATCGTGACCGAGGGAATGCCTGGCTGGGACGCGCAACAGACAAAGGCGTCGCGGCTGGAAGCTGGCTAACTGTGACACGCAACTTCGACAGAGGGAGATCGGATATTCATAACCTTCCATTGAAACCGCGCTCTCGTGCGAACTCCGCGTTCCACTTGGCCTCTTCCTCCTCGTACCCTCATGTGAAACGGTCGATCGTCACTTCTGGCTGGCGATCGTCACTTCTGGCTGGCCACCGGAAACCACCGTGGCCCATAATTCATCGGGGCCCACCGATACCGGTCCCCCCCTCCTCCGCACCCTTCGCGAAATCGGACCATCCGATCGTTTCTGTTGCAGAGCTGACCTGGGAAATGAAAAATTCTTTGCACGGTGGATGCCCTTCGTCTGACAATCGTAACGAGCGATCTAGAGATCCCGCGACTGGACACTGAGTTTGCTACTCTGCGCCAGCATGCATCTTAACACTATTCCTACCGCTTGAAAAGAACTATAACTACAACCTCCTCCATTATCTTCCACTAAAGTCATTCAATTCATTCGGTTAGAAACTGTGTTTTGTAAAAATAAGAACCGTGTTTGAGAAATTGCAAATAGTCCCACTTCAAGACTTACTAAATAACAAAATAAAAGGTAAACAGAATAAAAGGCAATACGTTGCTAAGTGAAAAGTGGGAGATCTCCCCATTCGGTTGGCTAAATGTTAACACTATTCCTACCAGTCAAATGACTGTTATTAAAATTTCGAGTAGAATTTCCTATAGACAACGTAATCGCATACTTCACGACTTTTCCTGAAATATGTGTGTAAAACATTCTTCAATATTCACACTCTTTTTTATTGTTTATTATCTTCGTTCTATATTAACACAAGAACTACCAGTCAGAATGACTGGTTTCGATTTTTTTGTTTAGCAATTATTGATATCTTCGAAGCATTGAATATTCGAAATGATTTTGAAAATAAATAGTTTCATTTGCTCAAAACTTCATTTCATCACTCAAAACTTTGCGTATTGCTAACGATTTCTTTCGAAATTTCTTGAATCTACTGTTTTCTCAATAATCATAAAAGAATTTAGGAGTCACTTTGACCCATCTGGTAGTTCTAGTTAAACGTTGATAAACTTGAGAAGTAGATGCAGCTGTTTGAAGTTTTCCGCAGTTGGTTTAGCTCTGAGATTTTTTCATAGTTGATTAGTATTTCTTTCTATAGGTGTATTCAAGTGAGTTCTTCAGGAGCAAGAACTCTTGTAGGCTCACAAGTCACACGAAGAGGTACCACAGGGTGGGAACGGTAGCCCAGTGTGTGTAAGACTCGTAGAAGGGATTCTGCTTGAGCAGGACTCGGCGCGACATCGGTATTTGTGACAGTGTCTCGCTCACGGATTGCCCCACCACGAGACCTTGGCTCCTGGGGAACGTGGGTTGCTTAGCGTGTCGTTCTTGTCTATTTGCTCGCCGAAACTAGCTCGCAGGACTATGGCTCTGCGTGTATCAACCCTACAAAGTTATTAATACAATTGTGATTAACACGTTGAATGCCAACCAAATCGAATTACTATAGTTCACTCAATTACACCATGATTACTTGAAAACATTTCAATATTATAATTAATGCTAACTAATGTACTGACATTTAGCTAGATGAACCTGCAATAATAACAATGCAATTCAATCGAATGATTTAATATTATATTTTTTCCATTTCAAGTATTCTGTACCATGAAATCATGCGGCATTCAACGTGTTAAAGCCTGGAAGTCACTAGAGTCTCATAGTCACATGAACAATTGTATACTTGAAATAAACCCTTACTTGAATCTGCATTTTACATAACACACTGTATTCTTTTGCGCTATAGATTCAAATTTAACCCTTTGCACTCCGGAAGTTCTTCACCGGAAACATTCAATATTTTCTAATGAGATACAGACGACATTTTCTCAGATTGAATTAAGAATTCTCACATGCATTGAGGAAGAGAACTATTTTCTTTCAATATTTCGTACATTAATGCATTATACAAAGTTTAATATTAAATATCAAAGTTTACAGTTTTGTTGTGTCAAATCATTTGGTGACTCAGGAGCCTCTGGAGCGCAAAGAGTTAAAGAAATACGTCTAAGTAAAGATTGTATTTTGAGGTCATTTGGGGTCGTTTGGTATTGAAAAGCTTGGGGATAGACCAAACCAAACACCAACAAAGTTCAATTAATTTGAAGTCGCAAGTACATATAACACGCATTTTTTCTTTTCTAGATACTTTCAGGTGTATCACGAATATATTAGAAATTTCCCAACCAGCTCAGGGACTCCAGTGTCTTCCAACCGAGGAAGCATGTTAATAGCAAAGTACCGTATTATTTAATCTAAAAAGACAGAGATTACACCATTAATCGTTAAATGTCAATGTCAAAACAGTCGGTTGATTGCCGGGTACGAAAAAGGAAACTGGTGATTTCCACGGTGCGCCAGGATAAAATGAGGACAGGACATTCGTTTGAGAGTCTTGTAGATTATACTGCAGGATTATAGCTTCGCCGTTATATCAAAGTAGGGGCGCTTCTTCTCGACTGTCCTCTATCAAAAGCAGCTTCAACCCTGTAACATCAAGTAAACTTATGTACACTGTTGTAGGTGCTACGTTCACAGCTAAAATTATCCAACTTTGAACTGATTAAAACTGAATATCATTTAATAATTATCGTTACCTATGGCTAACGTAAAATTAATTGCTGGCAGCAGTTGGCAACTGCTAAAGGATTAACCGTTTGAGTGCTGAGGAATGCTACAGTTTATCAGTATCAATTATAATTTTCTCACTATGTTTCTCAAGAAATAAATCAAAGTAAATTTATTCGAATAAATGTTATTTTTTGATATTTTTTCGTAATAACAAAACATACGACTAATATACGACGCTTTGAAATACATATTTCAAAATATTCCGATAGTACAATTCATTACTGTCAGAAACGTATGGAATTAGAAATGATTAGTAGACTGAAGGCTTCGTGTCAATTCTAATTTATAAGAGTTAAATAAGAAAATAGTTTCCCTCGATGAACATAGAAAAATCGTATTCTACTGAACTTAGCAACAGAAAACCTACAATAAACAGGCAGCTGATAATTCCATAATAATTAGAATTCCATAATGAAATAGATATCAGTTTATCAATATTAATTATAATTTTCTTACTATGTTTTTCAAGAAATAAAGTAAATTTATTCAAGTAAATGTTATTTTTTGATATCTTTTTGTAATGACACAATATTTGTGATCTCATTAGATAACTACTCTTATTAATTTTTTTGCACACACACCCAATCATTTTTGGTAAATATCCACAAAAGTTGTTTAGCATCCAAATGGTTAAATATAATTTTCGCGGATGGTGAGATAAGAATAATCAGAGAGATCGAATAGAGGAGAGTTAATGGATCTAACCATTTTCAGAACACTCAGCCACTTTGACAAGCGTCGAGTACTCCACGGCGGCTGACGTCCGACAGATTTCATCCTCGATAATTAATAGGCGCCTTAAATGTTAGATTGAACATGCTAATCCCGACCTGGACACTTTCTGTTTGTCTTGTTCTACGGACGAGCCTTCTCGGCGCAACGCTGTCATCCATATTTTTCCCCGGAGGAAGTCGTGTCCTGAAAACAATATTGGGCAGTCAGATAGGTTCTAATCATCGGTAGAAGATAATTACAGTCTAACATCGAATTACATTAAACAGCGCGTATCAGAGATACTAAACTTTGTACACTTCTCTTCAATCAATGGAGATTAATAATCTCAACCCCTGGCTTTACGGTGTTGAGCAACACGCACGGTGTAAACATTGGATCGAGAAGAATGTGTTTCTCATTACCCGGAGAGATATTAATTAGCCACGTCTTTCACCGAGAACTCTTCGGGATTTTTCTTTCGATCGACTGTTTCAGTTTGTGGAGCATCTGAATTTATTCTACACTGTAACAGCAGAATATTTCGACGAGCCATCAACATTTTCAAAAGTTCATCTGCCGAGTTCAAACCCATCGGAATCACCATTAATCCATTGCACAATCCGACTAAGGTATTCGCATTATATAATAATTATCCACAGTGAAAGTAATTCGCGATTAACCCACACATTTTTCAAATACAATTTTCTTTCCCACGTGAACCATTCCAGGAAATTAGAGTATTACTAGAGTACAGATCTTTGTAAAGATTTTGGAAAATGTTCAAAATTACACAAGATGCACGGTACTATGACTTTTCTGTTGCTTTCTCTAATTGTTTTCTCTAAATCGCATTCTTGCGATTACATAAAAAATACATACACAAAATTACATTCTGATTACATTCTGAAAAATTTGAGTTCCCTAGAGACCATCAGTCAGCTAATTACGAAAGAGAATGGGAAACGAGGCAATCTGTCTCGCTCCCAGCGAGAGGGATCATTAAATTCATTAGAAAACCGTTAGCAGTCCATCAGAAGCTATCGTACAGGCCGGGTCCCACCGTGGAAGCGTCCAGTTTTCAATTAACCGGCTCGATCACGCGAAAAGGAAGAGGGAAAAGGGAAAATCGTTTCACCTCAGCATCCGGCCGGTGTCGTCTTCGAAGGAAGATACGCGCCGCTGGCTCGTGGGAAGTGGTGCGAAGAAGAGGCTTGCGAAACGCGCAGGCCGAGTCGAATAAGAGGTGGACACGTCTCCATCCGTCGCGCGAGTGGGACGTTATTTTTCCCATTGCGAAACCGTGGAACGCCGGCTGCACGAATTATTAGATAATTGCGAATCGCGGTCACGCCCACCCAGGAAAGGAGTTCGTCAAAGGATCCGCAGTCGTATCGCGGCTGGGAATCGTGCGAATGGCTTTCCGCGGTGCTCCCCGTGGGCGCAGAATGATTTCTCAGCGAAGTTTTCCAGTCTTACCGAACGAGAGTGACCGAGGAACTTCCTTTCATCGCCCTTAGGCAAATGGAATCGATCGGTGAGGCCTGGACGCGACTATTCGGGGGTTCCGCCATTTTGTCGGCCGACAACATGGCCTCCGTTCGAGACGGTGTACGAGTAAGAATTAGAGTTAGAATGTTTTATTAGTGAATAGGATAGAAATTAACCGGTTAACTGTGTTTGACAAGTATACATCTAAAAGCTTGAAATGATACTGATTCTCTCAAAGATCAATTCTTTATTTTTTCAGATAAACATGTAATTCTTCGTTTTGCTTTGGTCTTTCATTAAAATATACTCTAGGTGCATTTGTCCTGCGTTCGACGAGTACACGCTCCAATTTTTGATTTTACTGCACGCAGAACGAGAGGTTTTTCAAACTTCCACAGTTAACAGGTTAAGAGAAGATTGAGTGAAACGAACGGTATTGTTACGTTTTCAATGGTACTATCATTGTGGAAGATTCCAGTTTCATCGAAATGGGTATTCCATGGAAAATACTGTACAAATTGGAATAAAAGATTTCATAGTAATAAATCAAATGTAAACAGAAAATTGCTATTCCTCCCGAACCATTTCTCATTTCGTAAGTTCCAAAATGGCGACTGGATCAAATTATCAACCAAAAGATTCTACACTAACGAATAAACCGAGGAGCAACACGAGATCCGATAGCTCGTTCCAATATTCTCACAGAAAATGAACAAACATTTCCAACGAAACTATGCGTTCCAAAATTTGTATTCAATTGTTCGGACAAGGCCGCCCGAAGCATTAGAGGAAAGAACGAGACGACTCTAAGGACGCGGTTATTACATGGCATACAATGTCGTGTTTCATAATACGAAATTATGAAACGCGAAATTGAAATCGCGTCGAACAATCGTCGGAGTTTTATTCCCGTTCGGAAAACGCGGCGGGGGAGGCGGCGGCGCAATCGAGTGACGGCCATCATCGGAGGGATGGGAACGCGAGAGAACGGTTTTTGCGTAATCCCTTAAAAGCGAGGAACTTTTAAGATCGAGCGTGAATCGTAAAAAGCGGCCTCCTCATCGCGCGAACTAATTGCTTCGATACTCAGGACGGACGGACGGACGGACAGGCGAGAGAGCAGTGTGTTACGTCCAGCTCACTGCTCCGCCGCATCGTCATGAGAAAGTTTTCTCTTACGCTTTAATTTTTCCAGCAGTCATCAAGGCTGCGTCGCTCTCCTGCGAATCACTCCCTGAACCCGATGGGAAAGGAGCAGCACCTCGCGCCGAGTATATACCGCGTGTTTTTCTAATAGCCATCGCTTAGCCCGTCATAATTCTGTTTGATCAACCTGGTTGAACGATAGATTACGCTTCGGTTGCGCGACTCGAACCGCTTTCCATTAGAGTATAGGTATGTGCAGGGCGAATCATTCGATCGTGTCATCTGAATGTACTTCTGAATCATTTGAGCCATTTTTTTCAAAGTGGTGTAGGTCTGTTTTTGTAGAGAAACGAGTGAATGGCAGTTTTAGTGAGATATAAGTCGCTTAGAAGTCAATGATTAAGTATAGAAAAGGAGAATTCAGGAAATGAGTGTTTTGAATTTTGGAATTATTGTAGAAAATATTTAGAGACTATACAGCTTGCTGGATAGTAAGAATATACTAGAAAGAATATTTGTTCCATTAAAATTTATATGAATTAGAAGATATCAAAAGATCGAGAGCATTAGCTTCTGAGCAACTCATTTAGATATCTTCTTTTATATTTATTATCGCATTATTAGTATTAGTAATTAAATAGTACTATTTACTATTTATTACTCACTATTTACTACTTACTATTTAATATTGACTTATTATTTACCATTCATTTACTATTTATCATTTATTATGTACCATCCATTACTTACTATTACTCACTACTTACTATTTACCATTTACCATTTATTATGTACCATCCATTACTTACTATTACTCGCTACCGACTATTTACCATTTACCATTCACCATTTCCTACGATTTGTCTGAAGTTAATACAGATTATTCTCCATGAATCTTCGCAAGCAGAGATTCATCTTCTGAACGGCGAGTCGCCGTTTGCCAATAAACGCAGACACGAGGCATCTCCTCGGCCGTGAAAGGGTTGAAGTAACGATCCAAGTGCTCTGCCCTGACCTGGTCTTGCTCGGTCTTGCTGGGATGCACGTAAGGCTGGGCAAGAGGCGGATTGCTCGCCAAGCAATTCCGAGCGTGCGTACCCGCGCGTGCCTTTCTCCGCTTGCCTACTGAAGCCAGGGGCCGAGGATGCACCGATGGCCTGCAAAAATACCGGGTCATCTTGTTGCCAATGTATACTTTTCGGTTACCAAACCCTAATTTCAACAGAGCCGTCGATTAACTACCGTAATGTCAAACCAAACACGTGGCGGATCCATCAAAACGCAAACACACTGGGTCATCCTGGTAACCAATGTGTATTTTCCGGTTTCAAATGTTAATTCCAACAGAAGCATCGATTAGTTACTATAATGTCAAACCATACGCGTCGCGAATGATTCAAAATGCAAACATACTGGATCATCCTGTTGCCAATGTGGATTTTCCAGCTGCGAACGATCACTTCTACGGAAACATCGGTTGATCACTGGAATATTGAATTCACCTTTTGACCTACGATTTCATTTGTTACACTTGAAAGTATTTATTATTCATAATTTTGTATATCTAGATTTATCCTGGACTGTATAAATTTTTAATGAAAATTTAATGTTCCATTTGAACTCAAAAGAATTGAATATTTGAAATCTTCAGATTAAATTTTTGAAGGAAGACAGTGTACTAAAGTCATGAATATTGAATGTTTATCAAAAAGTGTGTGCAATAAGTAGTTTCTATTTTAGGAAAACGATTGGCGATAAAGTAACTTTTACAAGACTAATCGCAGTGTAAATTATAAGGCAAGGGTTTGATTAAGTATACAAGGCACAGTGTAATTTAAGATGGACTCACAGATAGATTAAAAGTTGTAGATAAGATTGGCAAGGTTCGCGTGATAGACTTTTCCTCGTTATTCTTGTTATAACACCTGGCCACCGCAAAAGGAGTTTCATAAAGTGCGAGACGAACTGAGCGGCAATCTAAAATGGCGGCAGTGCGGAGTGCGTATCGTAACACGACGGTAATAAATAATTAAAATATGTATATTACCCTTCTAGGATAACAATTCCCTTTTGTTCTTTATAATCCTCTGGCGTCACACGTTCTTTCTACTCTACTTTCGTAAGGACCTCTTTGTATTTCTCAATTCTTCCTTCTAGAAACAGGGTGAAATGAACTCTATTCTGCAAATTATCTTCGTCGACTTCCTTTAAAGTATCAAAATATATAAAACTGAAAATCAAAAATTATAAAATAGTAATTATAAACACAAAATTACGAATTACAAACGATTAAACAATGTTCAATTTCCAAATTCAAAATTGCAAATCAAACATTCTCAAACGAAACACTACAAACTAGAAATGAAAGACCTACAAATTAGAAACTACAGATTAGAAGTTGAAAGTAAGAAATGTTCAATTTCCCAATTCAAAATTACAAATCGAACATTCTCAAACGAAACATTAAACCAGAAATTAAAAACACTACAAACTAGAAATTAAAGACCTACAAATTAGAAATCACAGATTACAAGAAAGTAAGAAATTAACAAATGTAAGACACGAAGTATACGTTAAAAAATGCGATTTCCGTTTCAGGAGAAGAAAGGAGCCGGTTGATTTTTCGGTAGAAAGGATTCGCTGGTCCAGACGCGTCAACAACGCTTTGAATCCCGAGCGATGGCTCGGGAACACCTATGAAATATCAAATTCTTTCTGATACGTAGCACGATAATCGATGGAATGACTTCTTCATGCTGCACCTTCGAGGCTAGAAGTCAGCGGCTCCGGCTCGAAAGATCATTTGGATCGCATTGATCCGGATTAGCCTTCCCACGATGCAACCAAATGCACAAAGCGATTTGTCCCGCATATATGTACATACATGCACAAATACACATATGTACGAGTACATATACTTTGTATAATCCTTCATCTAAAGGATAAGCATTTTTCTTTGGAGAATATAAAATTATCTTCGGAAACGTACAAAGGCAACCACAATTCCTATTCCTCTCCGTTAATCGTTGTTACAAGAATATCGCATGCTCGACGAGTGATGAGCGCCCCTAGACCTATTTTCTTCTTTACCCTGAATCATTTCCGTGTTCTACAAAGTGGAGATCTCGACGATGATGGGAAAGTAATGTCGGGTTGCTGGAGATATCCTTAACCGATCAAATTCCTCTGGGTTCCTGGGATCACTGTGAAGAGGATATTTGAGATTATTGCATGTGAGAGATGGAAACGTAGCTTTAGGAATGTTTATGTTTAAGCACCTTTTTATTGGTATATTGGTATTTAGTGATGTTAATGGCGAGTATGTTCTTGAAGACGCGAGGGTTGATTTCGTGTTCTTCTGTAGCTATGGTATTCTGGAACATATAATTAAGAGAATTAGCTTCGATACTCTCAAGTGGATGCTATTATTAGTTTACTAATGTATATTATATGTTGCAAGCTGTGCAACTCATGAGATTCTCGCATACTATCCATACACTGAAAGGAAAAGTATCAACTATGTTATCCTATACAAAAATGATTTCAGACTAAAACAGGACCAAACATTCATCAGACAAAATTTCTCAAGAGAAACATTCGTTGAAAACCTTCAAAAGATGAAGCTAAATTATATATCAATTGTATAATTGTATAATTGATAGAAGATTTCAAAGGGTTAACTCATTCAGGACGAAGATTGTTTTTAGTACACAAAATCTTTCGCGGATTCTGCTAAATTAAACGCTGAATGCTTAAATCATAAAGAAACTGTGTACTGATTTCATGTTGTTCGAATAGTTAAATCATTTGTTTGCAACTCGGTATTCGAAACATGGAAGTTTGATCTCAGCAAAATGCCGACATTCGTCGGCGAAGGGTTAACCCCTTGACCTATGATTTCTTTCTGAACTCTGATCGAAACGGCTACTTTCTCGTTAATAATTTATTGGAAAAAGAGAAAAATGCTAAGCATACGTTATTACTATATTTCCTTTTAAGTGCAATAGTTGATTACAGAGGAATAATATTTATTTTGAATTTGAATTAACTAAGTAATATAGATATTTGTTGAGTCATGTTGAAAATCTTCACCACGGGCCTCACTCGTTGTTGTAAGACAAGGGGTTAATAATTTTTCATAAAGTCAGTGCACGCCACGTGCAGGTCGGTCCCAGCAAGGTTCTAAGGCAAGGTGAGGCAAGGTAAGGCGAAACAAGGCAAGCGCGCATCATCCTCCACCACCTCCCCCACCCTTCGTACTGTACATCGGGGCCCCCGGTCCCAACACGTTCGAGTATCATCTTATTAGAGCCACACTATATAAACCCAACCTGCCAGCATGCCGAGCAGTTACGTACTGACTTTATTCACAGACGTGCCGGAGTGCAACCGACAAATATTGTAACCGACGGGACACACGTGCCTCATCTGACCCCGTAATCCGTGTAACACTCGACGTAAGGTCCGGTCGTAATGGCGGCTAGGGCCCGGAAACCTCGGCGACGCTTTCGTACCAACCCCCCCTGGTGACACCAGTGCTCTATCCTGGTTCTTTGTGGGACTGTCAATTCCTTTATTTTTCTTTTTGCTTGGATTTGTTGATTCTTTTATTTAATTCAGTGGTAGAGAACAGTGGAAGACTCGAGGTCTTCTGTGATTGGATCACGTTGCTCGACTTTGTGAGATTATGAATTTCTTTATTTTTACTTTTCTTTGGATCTTTCATTCTTTTATTTAATTCAGTGGTAGAGAACAGTGGAAGACTCGAGGTCTTCTGTGATTGGATCACAATGCTCGACTTTGTGGGACAATGAATTTTTCTTTTCGTTTGGGTTTATTTATATTTTTGTTTCTATTTAAGTGGTAGAAAAAAGTGGAAGACGGCTCTTCTGTGACTGAATCACGTTGCTCGGCTTTGTGGGACTGAATTTTTCTTTTTGCTTGAATTTATTTATATTTTTGTTTCTACTTAGTTAAGTGGTAGAGAAAAGTGGAAGATATTGGGTCTTCTGTGATTAGGGACGTTGCTCGATTTTGTGGGACTATGAATTTCTTTATTTTCTTTTTGTTTGGAATTTTAATTCTTTTATTTAATTCAGTGGTAGAAAGAAGTGGCAGACGTTGGGTCTTCTGTGATTGGATCATATTGCTCGACTTTGTGGGGTTATGAATTTCTTTATTTCCTTTTTATTTGGATTTTTAATTCCTTTACTTAATTCAGTGGTAGAGAAAAGTGGAAGACGGGTCTTCTGTGATTGGATCACGTTGCTGGATTTTGCTGGATGACATTTTACTAGAAGCTTCGGGGGTAGTTGGGACTGGTTGCTTGTACAGTGCACACTTCTGTCCATTTAGAACTTTAGATGTAGATTGTGATTGTTCAGTGAGAATTTGGGGGAATCGATTTTGCTGTTTCTTAATAAGCCATTTGGTACGGCTAAGAATTTTACAGATTTGAAGGTGTTGTTCTTTCTTGGAGATTTTTATTCTTTCTAAACTGCGTTGAGAAGAATTTACATTTGTAGAAACGATTGTTGGACAATAATTCTAGTCTTCCAATAAAAATCTATATAAGAGTAACTTACTTTCTCCACAAAATGCAAAACTATCACTATAATTACAAACCATAGTATCAAAACTCTAAAAGGATATAATCAAAACCAACTAATTACTAAGCTTATAAAAATCTCAAACTCTCACTGAAGTACAAAGTGAGAACACCTTACCGACCAGCAATTTTCCCAAAAATTTCTTTCAAACTTCCATAGAATACATTAAACTGACTAAACCAATTTAATTCACCGAGTACGATCAAAATAAAATAAAACGCAAACATAATCGGTGAATCGTGGAAACACGAGTTAACCCTTTGCACTCGAGAGGTGACTCACCACTCGATTTCATACAGTAAAACTAAAATTTGATATTTAATATTATACCTCGTATAACGTATCAATTCGAGATATATCGAAATAAAATATATATAATAAAATATTCACGAAATACCGTGTTTATCTCGTCAGAAAATGTGAGAATATTTCTAGTGAAAAACCTCCGAGTGCAAAGGGTTAACTCGTGGCCGATCAGCAAGGTGTTAACCCTTTGCACTCGGGAGGTGACACTCAGTCACCACTTGATTTCCTACAGTGAAGCTATAAAGTTTGATATTTAATATTATACTTCATGTAATGCATTTATCTGAGAAACATTGACGTAAAATAGCTTTGTCCGTCAATTCGCGTGAATTTCTCGTCGAGTTGGTTTTACAAAATATCGCCTTCATCTCATCAGAAACTGTTGAAATATTTCTAGTGAAAAACTTCGGAGTGCAAAGGGTTAAAATAATCGTTGCCGGGTATCATGCTGTTGCTACCGCGGCAAGAATCATTCGGCGAGTCTCGCGGGGAACATCTAGAAAATTAGTCGTTCGAATTGCGAGTGAATAGTCTCTCCGGCCTATCGAAGATGTGCACGTACAAGGAGAGACCCAGCAACGGAGAACGCGCGAGTTCCGTGATCCCGAACAGGGAGTGGTGTGCATGCATGCAATTCCATGAACAATCGTACCGCGGCCAGGGTGTGGTTAGCCGTGAAATGTCGTCGAGGTCTATTCAACCCTTCGTGTCGCAAATCGAGCCACGATCATCCATGGGATCCGCGGAAACTTATAATCTTCCCACCCTATAGAGAACAATATACCTTGGGAACAGATTTTTCTTTCCTTTTCGTTCTTTCTTTTAACGGTTTCTTTTCTAACGCTCCCACGACGACCTGTGCACACGTAAAGGGTTGATTTTCTGTTTCCCACAGTGCGCCCGCGGAAAACCGGTGCGCGAGTTTAAGCTACAGCGGGACTGGCACGGACGTTCTTATCGTCGCAACATGTTTTATCTTCAGGTAATTGAGAGTAATTAACCCTTTGCGGAGGAAAATTCTTCGAAACATACGAAACCTTCGACATGTGAAGCTAAATTGTATAGCAATTGCTTAATTAATAGAAAGAAAACTACGTGATCTCTTACTGTTCGACTAATTAGATCATTTTACGACTTAGTCTTCCAGATTTGAACGTTTCATCTCACCGAAATTCCGACATCCGTCCGCAAAGGGTTAATGGATCATTGATTCGTTGGGGATTAATGTTTGAATTGTGATTTAGAAATGATGCGATTGAGAATTGATATGGAAGATCTGAGACTATAAGGATTGTATTTTTTAATGTAATTTTGGTTACGATTTAATTCTATTTGGAAATTTAGTTTCACTGTTTCTGGATTGGAGAACGTTGGTTTACGTTTCTTGAAATAATGAAATTATTTCAAGTAACTTTCAAGTAACATTTTAATCAAATTTTAAAGCGACGTTATCTATTTGATAATATTAATTGGACCATATTACTAGGAGAAATTAAACGAATAACGTTACCAAGGGTAGTTCATCCCTTAAACCAACCCTCAAATTTGGATACTTAAAGAACTCTCAGTAGCTTCAAACACATTCTCAAATCAATAATCCACTGTCATTTCTTCCCAAGCGACAGCAATTAATTCGCAGCCTATCAGGCTATCAAATGAAAACGAGTTTACCATTGGAAAAAGGTTGAACTTTGCCATAAAACGGCACGGCCGTAGATCCCAGTGTCATTCGACGCCGCGAACACACCGTTCTCTTCTTTCGCCCGTCTAATTATTATAATTAATTACAGCCTCCCAACCGACGCACCTCACGACGCATAAATCTCGGTCCGCATGTGCGGACAGGGTGGAGGTGTCAACAAATTATCCCGGGAGTTCCCCGATTACGCGCGTATTCCAAGATTAATCGGGAGAGACATGAATCACGCGGACGCTAATTGATTTATCGGTGTGGACGCGTTTGCCAGCCACTGACTGCGTCTCAAAACGGAAATCTATGTATTTTCTTCGTCGGAGAAAATTCTTATTCTTATTCTAATTTCATGTAAAGTGACCCGGAACTGTTCATCGATGAGCCTTTTAACCCCTTGACCTACTGTATCGTGTTAGGCTTCTGACGAAAGTTTTAACCCTTTGCACTCGAAAGTTTTTCAATGGAGATATTCAACATTTTCTGACGAGATATAGGCGACAGTTGGAAACCACTTTATAATTCATAGATAAATTAAGCAACGAAGGAGCTTCATTTCAATATTTCACGTAGCAGTGAAAATTTCCATTTGAAGTATCAAATATTCAACTTGATAGTTTTGTTGTATCAAGTGGTGACAGAGTCACCTGTCGAGTGCAAAGGGTTAACCCTTAGCACTCCAAATGGTTTTGTAATATATCAGCAACTGCAACTAATTTTTATGGTATCTCTAGTAATAAATCTTTTAATAAAAATCTAATAATTAATAATAGAAAATTTTATAATATTAGGGTAGTTTCTTTAATTCATTAAAATATTTGATATTATAACTGGTGCAATATTGGAGCCTATAGAGTGCTAAGGGTTAAACTGAATTTGAGAGATCTATTATTTATTTTTTAATAAATTAAATTCTGCTTTTCTATTGTCTACTATACAGTAGTTGTACTGATCATAGTTAATAATTAAATAGAGCAAGGGGTTAATACTAGAACTACTAAACAGTCGAATTGACTCTTTCAAGTGGAGTCACTACCTCTAATTCTAACGTAACATTTTCCTTCGTTTCAAGGAAATCTCTACCAAAATTCTTCCAGCATCACTGATGTTCGCTATCCTTTTGTTTCATCTGCAACCGCAAGACCACACTGTATCCACTTCCTCTTCAATGTAAATCACTGAAAGATAGTGTTAAGTCATGTTTATTGACTTGACCTCTTGAATTTCAAGTTTTACTACAATACTTGCACACAAAACAGCAGAATCTTACATAGTTACCTGGAAAGTGGCGGACATCCGGCAACACAGAGCGTTATATGATCCCTTTATGCAACAAGATCATAAAACTTGAAGAATTTATCGCCGACAATCATGTCAACTGCGTTCATCTCTTCGGGGGGAGCCTCGAAGGGTGCAATATATCTGCCCGGACGCTTTTATTGTTTTCATCCGGGTGCCTGATCATTCGCAACCATAAAAGTATATTTACATTGTGGCAGTATGCAATCGCAACAAAAGCTGCCAGTAGTCTTCATTTTATTAGGTTGACAAGAAAGTTTTGTCGTTTCTTTTAAGGAACAATCTTTAAACATCTGTTAACTAGGTCATTCATGTCGGATGTAAACAATCCTACCCTTTAACCATAGACGAAAAATTATAAAAATCTTTCAACCATACTTCAACTTTATGCAAAAATAAACCATAGAGTTTTACGAGCTTCCATGGAGTTATGCCCAATTGCATCCCCATTTGTAATAGATACTTGTCAGAATTTAATCGAAACACAATTTAAAATTGAAAAATTCAATAGTAATAGCTTTCGATTGCTACCAAAGTCATCTGTGTCGCGCAATGAATAATAACAGAATAAGCGCGGGAAGTGGAGAAACCGAAAAACGACAGAATCTTCCTGCCAACCTAATATCCTCTTCCGACGGTTTCTTCTTCATTCCTCTTCGGACTGCACCTCTTCCTGGCGGTTGCGTCGCGACGTGGTTCACATGGAAACTGCAGTCCTTGGTCCGGTATCTAAAAAGGACTTACATCACTTTTGCTGTGGCAATGAACGTTAAACAATAACCGCTGGAACAATGGCGGATTTTTCTACCGTTAGTAAATTTAAATGAGCGAATGTGGCTGCTTAACTTTCAGGATTTCGCAAGTTCCTCATTTCTTCTTTCTTTCTTCGACTGCTTTTTGGCTGGTGTCCAAGATGGAAATTAGATCAATTGAAGTCGTGTCGGCTTTTCTGTTTTTCAATTAGCTGTAACACTTTCACTGGCGTGTTTAGCGGTCCCTATTAATTTTCAACCGTTAGGAAATCTAGGAAGACTAGCTGTGAATTAGAATTCACGTAGGCAAATGGAATTTCGTTGAATGAATGCATCATTGGGTAGAGCATCATTCTTCATCCTAGTACTCGATTACATTTCCTTCGAGAATCTTCAACCCTTTGTCTTAGGATATTTCTGTTTAAACAATCGATTAAAGATAGTGAAAACGTGGACTTAAAGATAGAAAGCTATTTTTTTTGTGTGTTATGAAAGAAATCGTATGACAATGGGGTTGAAAGATTAACATGGTAATTGGTTTAGAGAATATTTCCTTAATAGGTTTACGGAACGTCAATCTAACGCACCTTGAATTTTATAGACGCATTTCAAAACGACAATTTCTAGCATTCCAATGTCACAGATTCCAACTTTCCTTTAAATGATCGGTATCCAATTTCTCTTGATTTCATATCTAACGTCGCGGGAGTCATTAGAATCACGTTTGAACGAAGATGACGCTAGAAATTGATACAAAGGCGACGGTTTCACACGCATTAGGATACACGAAGGGACGGAGGTCGGAAATTAGGCGGAAGACGTGTAATTAAGCCGTTGCGAAATCACTGTAGACGAACGACACGCGTTGACACACGCTCAGAGCGAAAAACTCACGCAATTATCTCTCGCATCAAGCATCGCTCGTTCCTCGCGACTTTTCAGTGCACACTCGCGGCTTCTTTCTTTGTTGTGTGTCTTGATAAAACTGATAAACTGAACTTTCATGACACTGATATACGCTTACAATTAGATTCAATCATTCTCGGTATCTTTCTTGTTGATTGCTACTATTTATTACACTTTTATACTGTTCTGTACTATCTTATTACTATTCTACACTATTACACCTTATGCGCAGTTTGTCCGAAGCTACGTTTCGCTTGAAATGATAACGACTGAATAGATCCGCGACCCTCGATTATTCCGCTGTGAGTTCTGTTTACGTGCCTCCGGGCCAATTATATCTGAGTCCCTTTCAGGTACCCTTTTTTCTATCAACGCGTAGATGACGTATTTACATTGACTTGTCCACAATCCTTGACTCATCCATAAAGTCATTCAAACTAATAATTCTGTTATTAAACTTTGAATGACGGAAGTATTTCGTTAGCAATACTCAACATTTTCTAACTAGACAAAGACGATGGTTCTTTTAAACAAATCCAAAGAGAAATCACAGGTAAATTGAGAAGCAAAGCTTCTTTATTAAATTAAATATTAAATTTTCTAATTTTACTTCAAATCAAATGGTGACAGAGTCACCTCTCGAGTGCAAAGTGTTAATACCGCAATACTCCTACAAAGAAATCAAAATTTAGAGACCATATAATCGACGTGTCGAACGTTAAAAAATTCCAGCAATATTTTTACATTATTTACACTATTAACGAATAATAAATCTATCAACTATTCTCGAACCGTCAAGGAATTATTTATCGCAAGTTACTAAGTTAGCAACTTCGTTATCTCGGTGGTCAGTGCTCCAAGCGGGAGGTGAAGCCGGCGATCGCCAGTCTCGATAACAATTACTGCTATTTATGACGCGCGTTCTAACAGTACGAATTTGCGCAACCGTTCCTAATTGAAGAAAACGCGGCGGGTTCGATTCTCCCCTACGGCCGTCGCGCATCTGTCGTCCGCGTTTACCAAATCCGGCGGCCATCGGCGCGAACGGTTCATTACGTTCTCGTCACGATCCTCCGCGTCTGACACGTGTTCTGTTCGCGCGAGAGGAAACGGCGGCTGTCGTTAAAGTCGCGCGTCAAACGATTACAATGTGATACGACGCTGTTGTGTAAACAGGAGTAGGTGGACGGAGTGGGAGGACGTTTTTCTTAAGGCCCCCATATATGCTGAGACCGGCGGCGACGCGGACGTCGCAGCAAGTGATGGGTTTGAGCCTTCTTCGCTGTTTCTTCCAGTGAAATATGTATCATGAAACTTTGGGAGACTCGAACTCGTCACTTACAGTAATGCCACAGGTGTCGACGTGCCTTTAGAGAGTAGAATGGTCCTGCTTGTGGCCACAGTACTCAGGAGTACCCTTAGTTCCAATTTTTCAGCTGATTTATTCCTTTCTTCTGCTGAAAAAATTAAAAGTCACTATCATATGTCTCAATAAAAAATAGCACTTTTAAGATTAGTTTTACAATTATTTATTATTTAGAATTATAGTTTGTTGTACTACTTCTTTGAGAAGTGTGGAAGGTTTTAAAGGTATTATAATAATGCTATCATATGTCTAATTAAAATACCACTTTCAAGATTAGTTTTACAATTATTGATTATTTAGTACTATAGTTTGTTGTACTACTTCTTTGAGAAGTGTAGAAAGTTTTAAAGGTATAATAATACCAGTGTATTGCGAATGTTCAATAAACTTTCTTCTATGAAAGGGGATGTTATACTTTGTCTAATTGGTGGAGACTAATTCGCTGAATACTGTGTTACAGATCACGATACTCTGCATGGCAGTGGTCCACGTGATTTGCGACCTACCACCGGGTACCAGACGCAACACGTACCTGCCACCTGAGCCGACAAAGGGTTACAATTACGACACGCCTGCGATACCATTCCCCAAGTCGACGACCACGCGACCACCGTTCTCACCGACGACGCCGTACCCGACCAGAACGCCGCGTCCTTATCCTAAAACGACCACAAAGTTCCCGACAACGAGACCAACACCTGGCACAGGATATCCGCCACCGGGACCAAGGCCCACACCGGATTTCCCTGATTATGGACCACCGACTGGACCCACCCCTGGTGGAGTAAGTGCCAGAGACTTTTCCACGGATCTCATTTGACACTTATTTTTACTATAATATTAGACAGACTACAAAATCTTATTTTCAATATTAGAACTACCATACGAAAGATTAGTTCCAAAAGCTTCAGAGATCTTGGTATCTAAAGGAAACTTGTAAAGTTTTCTATTGATGTCTAAGAGAAACTTGTGGTTTGCTATTGCATTCAAGATACCTAATGATTATAGATTCATACAAGTATCAGTTACTGCCCTACATACTATCTACATAAACATAGCAGTAAAAATAATACAGCTAACACTAGAATTACCAAGCAGGTCAAACTAATTTCAGAATCTTCATATTGCAAGTATTTCAATTATAAAGAAAATTTGTGCATTTGTACAGATCCTAGAAATCTCAAGGAATGTTCCAATATTCATTAAAAAATTAGGAATAAGTCATTTTAACTGCTCGGTAGTTCTATTGTTGAGGGAATGTGAGAGTTAATTTAACTCTTGAATTCACACTAATAGTGGATAAATGATTCCAGCATGACCACCATCATCACGAGCCAGGCATGCCGTTCGACTTCAACTATGCAGTGAAGGAGGACGCGTTCGGCAACGATTACTCCCACAACGCCATCAGCGACGGTGACATTGTCCGCGGAGAGTACAGAGTTCAACTTCCGGACGGGAGGTTGCAGGTCGTGCGATACACAGCTGACTGGAAGCACGGGTTCAGTGCGCAGGTTTCCTATGACGGGAATCCCCGTTTCGACGTTCCTCGGCCGACTGGCACCTTCACGGGCTACTAAGAGCGTCGTCGAGCCTAGGGTTGCCAACTTTAACACGCACTCACGTCCTTCCGCGATTCTCAGTGCCCTGATAACAACACAGCTCTAATTAGATGAAATCATAATTTTTGGATAAACGAGATATCCCTCTTATTTCTTTCTTTATTTTCCAAATGTCGCTTAACCCCTTGTCCAATGAATTATTTTGTTAATTATGATCGATGCAACTACTTTATTAGAACAATTTTGATGCTTATTCTATGTCTATGTATACTCTAAAGGTTAACGACTGATAATAGAAAAGTAATATTTAATTTATATTTAAAAAAAGAAATAAATAATAGATTTTTGAAATTCAGTTTGAAATTTTCACCAGGAGTCTGACATGATATTGTAGGTCAGGGAGTTAATTTAAGGTTTGATTATAACCAGGAGAAACTCATTATCCTTACAGAAGAATGATATTTGGGAATACTTAGCTTTGAAAGCATCTGTGGTAGCGTCTTCCTGCAGGATGAAGAATCTTTAATTATAGACGTTTTCCTCTAATTTACTGCCAGTACTAGAAGCAATAAGAGCAACCCCTTTAGCCCAGAGTATATTTCTTATTCCTCAGTTAGTTGTGTCCAATGGACACGGATATACATAGAAGGAGCAAAATAAATAATTGTAAAAATCAAGGTGTATTTCTTTCTGAAACACGAGATGTCGGTTGAAGATTAATTTCTAGCAGTAATTATTTAATTGAAACGCCGCTAATTACGAGACCAGTACTAACCCCCTTGCAGTTCAGTTTCTTGCAATGACTTTAGTCCAGAAAGGGACAAAAAATCAAGAGGCATGTGTCTCCATTACGTTGGGGATGATAATTATATAGCCAAGTTGTCGGAGAAAGGAGAATTCATTGTATTATTTTTTATAATAAAAATATGTGTAATTTAAAACTTCCCTCTTTTACTGTAATTTCTTTTGTATTTCAGAACCGAATGAAATTTTATTTTATTTAAAGATTTTTTTTTAATTGATGAACTGAATTAATTTAAACATTCTTTTACTCTTTATGTAAACTACTGAAAAGAAATGTAAATCAGAAAGTACCCTTACACTGCCAACCCTAGCCTCGACTAATAATTTTAATGTATTGTATAGAAACCAAGAAAATACTCAAAAGATTGTATTAACAGTTCATTCAAATAAAAGATTTGTTGAACATGTATCTACAGAATTTGATTTTAAGAATGTCTGATTCCAATAACACCTACATAAAATATTTCTTCTTCTTCCTCATCTCTTATGCCATAAATGTGTTTTGTGTTGGACAATGTGTGTTCATCCAAGAATTAATATATACATGGAAAATAGTTTGTTGGGCTAGTTGTTGCTATGGTTAAATTGATTGTCGCGCATGTGCGCTGAAAACATTGTACAACAACGCTGAAACAATGGGAACATGTTTTGTTTGTTAGACGAGACATATCAATATTTGACTGTTTGAGACTTGCAAAGAGAAATTAAATGTTTACTAATTCATAGTAATACTCAACTTTAATCCTCAACATGACTCTACCACTATTAAGAATAGATTATGCAGCTGTGGGTGTTACTTCTAAAGGCACAACAAAGATCTTCCCTGTATCAGAATACAGACAAACACAGAAATTTGCTGTTGGTGATCATGATGGAGTATTACATGTATATGGTAACTTATCCATGAATTCATATCCAGTAAATCTTCATATTTATTGCAACGGTGACATGAAATCTTCTATGCAGGTATGAAGAAAGGAGAGTTACAGGTGTCATTTAAGTCTCTGCCAGGACCAAAGATCAATAAATTAGTTTTGGGAGGTACAGGACGCGATAAAATTTATATTGCCCATGAAAACACTGTGAAGGGTTACACAAAGAAAGGAAAGCTGTTCTTGGACTTTGACACGAATCTCATAGATCCTATTTCATCAATGTTAGTTTTTGTAGATGCAACAATTCTAAACAGCACAATCCTGTAATAAATATTCATTTAAAATGTAGGTATGTGCTTGGTCCGGATCTTGCAGCATGTGCCAGAGACCTTTATCACAGGTATCATGACTGCAAAGATTCTGATTCTTACCTAGCAGGTGAAACCTTATACGATGTTATTCTCCTGCCTGCTGATGGTTCAAATGTTTACACTCTTCTTGCCTGTGGAGACTGTGCAGTAAGTTATCAAATCTGTATTAAAGCATTGAAACTTAATAAATTCTATTCTACCCAGGTACGTGTTCTTCATGGTACAAGGAGTCCAGCAGTTCTTAGACTGCCAAGTGTACCTACAGTACTATCATTATATAGGTACTTTATATTTATACACACAACTTGCACTAATTTATTTTGTTTAATAATTATTTATATTTTTACTTGGGTGTTCACAGAGAAGGCGATGTTGAATCCAAAGATCGTGTTTTGCTTGGAACCATGGATGGTAGGGTAGGATTACTTATTCTTCAAGGTAACAAAACCTTAAGGATTACGTGGCTATTGAACATGATAGGTTCTGAAGTCACTGCCTTAGATACATATGAACTGCAAGACGGTTTAGATATACTTATTGGCAGACAGGATGGCACTGTTGATGTGTACACTTTCCCTGATGAAGAATTACTGCCATCTCTTCGTTACCGTTACGTGGGTATATACATCATAATCTGAAATTTCGAAACAAATGTTAGTAATAATCAATGTATTTCAGAATGCTGCTGAAAGTATCACTTCAGTGGTAGGTGGAGTAATTGGGGCTGCAGGATGTCCTGAAGTTCTGGTCACTACCTATTCGGGTCGAATATTTGGCTTGACCACAAGGTCTCCTGGACTCCTAGAAGCTGATCAAAATGAGGGTGTACTAAAATTAAAAGCAGAAATTCAACAGTTACAGGAAAAACTTAACGAAGAAAAGGAAGCAGCCAATTTTACAGTTGATCCATTGGCACCTTTAATTCTATCAGTAAATCATAGGTAGCATACTCATTGTTTACATACATTTTTTAAAGTGCAAAACTGAGATAAATTGCTTTTAGAATGGTCTTAAACAAGGAGGATGCATCGTATTTATTTTCCATAGAACTTGATACTCCTATTGATAATATCTTAGTACAATCTGACACACCAATAGAATTACTGGATGTTGAAAGTAACAGTGCAGTGATGAGCCTCTCTGCCTGTAATCCAAGGGAAGGTAATTTTGTTCTTGCTACCTATCGTTGTCAAGTAAGTAATGATTAAAAACAAAACATTGTCATAAATAAAATTTGTGAAATATCTTTGTAATAGCTGTTATGTTAACAGGTGAACATTAATCATCTTGAAATGAGACTAAGAACCATAGAAGGTCAGTCAGGTACCCTACAAATATATGTAACATCACAAGTATGAATTCAGTTTCTTTTAGTACATGTGATCATGAAAAAGACATGAAATAAATTATGTGTAACTCATAAATACTTTGTGCTGTAGGTACAGCCAAAATGCTGCCGTAAAATATCAATACCCATATGTGCCCTTTCTCTTCATGTAAGGCAATACGAGGATGATGACACAGAATCTACTGGAGGGCCTTTCAATGAATTAAGATTGATCGGAAGTTTCACTGTTGCTGAGGTAAATTCGTAAATGTGTTCCTTGTGCAATTTTTGATTGATTATAGTTTGATATATTTTAGATGCACGCCTGGCTGTCTTTGGCGTTGCCCAATGTACCTGAAAGACCCCACTTACAAGATGGTGAAGCACTTTTAACATACATCTCATCTTTTGTGGGCACAACCTTGAAATGCACATATAAGTAAGACCTCAATTGCACAAACTGTGCTGAATTTGTTCACATTTTATTAATTTTAAGGAAAGGAAGTGCTGTTTTTCTCGGGGAGAACATATCAAGCATTATAATTTTAAGAGATATATTAACCAGAGAAGCAACAAAGAGAAAAATCAAGTTGGACGTATTCTGTGGTATGGTCTCCTATTATTACCTTTTTCTAAATTTGTTGTTAACACTAAGCATTAAAGATAGCAAATATTAATCACTGTCATGAAAAATAATAAATGTTTTTATAGATGTTGCTGAGGGTAGCATTTCTAAAGTATTAGAACTGATTCTGCCACGATTAAATGCTGCCCATGATTTAAATGTAAAGGTAAAAATTTTGAATGCACTCGAGGAATGGGAGTTAAAGGAAAATCCGAAAGAAAATTTGTCTCTGGCGTACCAAGAGTTGGTACAAAACGAGATAGAAATCAAATCACAAATGGCAAAAGATAATGAAATTTTGGATAGACTGCATGGAATAATCACTGATCTTTATGTTGATTGGGAGAGAGCTAAACGATCTCGCAGGTAATGGTGTAACGTAATATACTAAAGATTAGAGTCCATTTTAAAAAATCATTATTTAAAAAAAAATTAAAAACATTAAACGAATTGCACCATCTTTTATGTGTATCCTATGCGTTCCAGAATTACTAGCACAGAAGCTACTGAAAAACTTAATGCAGCACTCGAGACGAGAGAACTGGCTCAAATTTTACAAGTTTTCATCGATACAAGTAGTACGGTGCCTGCACCATCTTCAGCACCTTCAACCACTTAACACTGCCCTACAAACATTTCTCTGGAGTATACAATAAAAATGGACCACGGTGTTTCTATAAATGTCTTTGCGTAAAAAATATATTTTTCAACGACGATTCGCAATATAAACGGCTAACTTACCTAAACTTAAAAATGTACATGTACAATATTATCTTGATTACTATTAATTATAATACAATACACATATATATGTATATATGTATATTTATATGCATATTTATATGTATATTTATATATACGCAATTGAATTGATATATATTTGTAGGATTTCCGTTCAGTTTCGTACTTTCCATAGTTTCCCGTTGAAAACAGTCTTACGAACATTATTTAAACATTGTATCTGTCGCGATCGTGCTTCCTTAAAGAATATGCCGCGGAGAAACTGGAAAGTACACTATGCTCAGTACATAGGCAACGTATCGATGCACGGCACTTCTATTGGTGAAAACGTCCATTTACAGTGAAGGTTTGTTCTTTCACGAACCTTCATGGTTATAAAATAGACATTTCAAATGCTTGACAGTGTGCTATAGTGTTTGAACAGCTTTTAATTTTATTCCCAACAACTGTTACATGAAAAAATACTGCCTGCAAAAGTAATACAAGAAAATAAATCTCCATGTTTCCATCGGTGCATTAATATGAATTATAAACGATTCACTTACATATTGTCAGCAGTACGCACAACTGCTTCCAACGGATCTCTCTCTGAAGTTGCATCTGGCGTAGTTGTCACAGTGTACTCCAATGTTTGTCCCCCAGCATGCGGCAGGATACTTTCTGGATTGTCGTCTGGTGGAATAATTTCTACGACACCAGTCGCCTCTACTTCCAATTTCAAATCTCTGACAAGATCTTGGATTGTTTTTGCTTGCGCTTTCTTAGTCTCGTCTTCTAGGAGAAGTTTCGCTTCGCTGCTAGCTTTTGCTGCTGCTATAACCCTATCCAATCGAGCAGAAGTACTCAACCGAGCGGGAGTACTCAACCGAGAGGAAGTGTTTTCAGTTCTTGCTCTAGAATGCGTGTGCAGGTGTCTTTTCATGTCACTTCGCACTCTGAACGGTTTCCCGCAGACCGTACACGGATGCGGCTTCTCCCCGGTGTGGATGCGACGATGATTTTGTAAGTAACTACTCGCTCTGAACGTTTTGTTGCAGTACTCACACCGATAGTTCTTTTCACCTGTATGGATTCTCCGATGAACAATCAAAGAATACTTACGGGCAAAGTCTTTCCCACAATATTCACATTGATATTGTTTTTGCTCTGAATGAATACTTGTCGAATGATACTTCAAGTCCCCCCACTGACGGAAATGTCGACCGCATTCTTCGCATTTGTACGGCTTGTCACCGCTGTGAAGGCGTTTGTGTACCTACGTTCGAAATAATTGAGTTAACTGACGTGATTCATGATGTAATGTATAATGTTACGTCAGTATCTGTATCACCTTTAATGCACTAGCTGCGAAAAAACTTTTCCCACAGACTTCACACTGATGCGGTCGTTCACCACTGTGAGATCGCATATGATACACTAAACTATTCTTATGGTGGAATGACCGATCACATTGAGGACAGGTTAATTCGTCATCTATGAAAATGTATGATTTTTTTTATAATCTACTATTTAAGAGAGAAGTGAATCTTTGTATATATACACACTTGATTTCCGAGCTTTTAAAATTTTCTTCTTCTTCGTTGTTTGTGGAATGTCAGTCTTTTCTTTTTCATGTAAGTCCTGATCATTAACAGTTGATGGTTTTACATGGTCCCTATGTACATGCTCAGTGACATCTGTAATAGTCCATAATGGTGATTCATTATTTACGGTAGATAGTGGAGATTCTGTTTCATCATCTATGTGAGCACCAGTTTCTTCCACTGTAAATATTGGAAGTATGTCAACTAAAGTGAATCAGAAATTAATGTTTGCCTGATTATTGTGGGCTTACCAACACCTCTGATGCCTTCCATGAGATCCTCAGGTTCACTGAACTCTTCGATCTCAGTGTTTTGAAGGTTTTGGACAGATTCCGGCACAGATATAGTAATATTAGTATTTGTTGCTTGTGCTATTCTGGTTTCTTGTTTTACAGGTTCATAGTGCACCTTGAATATTAATGAAAATTAAAAACAACATTCATTTCAATTATAATGCTTTAAACACAGAACAAAGTTCAAATACCTTAAGATGCTCAAAAAATTTTAATTGACTGCTAAATCTAGAGCTACACAGTTCACATTTAAATATGTGAGACTGCATTTCTCCAGTTGATTCTGCATTTGCAGCATTTAAATTAGACTTGCCACTATCCTTCCTTGCAGAGCTTCTCTTGGTTTGTTGTTTCAGTTTACGAGGAATTCTCTTTTTATGAGGTAAAGACCTCTTTGGTCCAGAAGTTGGGGCTGTATCTTCACTACTTTCTGCTGATACATCAACATCGTATTCACTTTTCACATTTATAAATTCTTGTTTTACATTGTGTGGAATTCGTTTAAAAGGTTGTAAAGTTGGATACACTGGTGGACCATTCGGTTGTGGCACAGTTTGAATAGAATAAGTATTAACAGGCGTTAAAGTTTCTAATTGGGAAACATCTGGCAAAGTTGGATCATCGTGCTGAGACTGACTATGAAGTTGCTGATGTTTCTGTTGTTGTTGCAGCTGAACTGCAACCAAAGCTGCTGCCAATCTACGATCTTCCTGTACAAACAATTAAAATTCAATTTTTGAAGCATAATTATAAGAAACCAAATAGTTACCTCTGTCAATTCGTGTTGTAAGAGATCGTCTGCTTCATAGTATTGGGTTGCCGTGGCATAGTCTGAACCAACACCAGCGTTGATCATATCAACAACCATTCCCTCCGAAATCAACTCCCCATTTAACGTTAAAAGCGGAACACTCTTGCCTAAAGGCTCTCCATCAGCCCTTTGAATAGTAATATATTGTGTACCTTCCATTCCTTCCAGCAACACAGTCTGCCCTTCTTCTGTTGTCACTTCCATAATTACTTATATTTCCTGCTAGTGGCAGAAAGTGTCTTCTACAATTACTTTCTCTCCATTTGTAAAAACTAACTGTTTGTGTCTGAAAATACGAATATGCCTTATGAAGCATTCAACGAACAAGTATAAAGAAAACAAAAAA